TTAATATCGTCTAACTGTCCTTGGTATAAACTTTTCTTTTGGTGTTGTATCCAATCGTTTCTTAACCTAATGTTTTTACCTCTGTTTTCTGCTTCTTCAATTCTCATCTTCATTTCTTCAATTTGTTTCTTCCTACTTGCTACTCCGAAAGTATCTTCAATATCATAATATTGCTGAACCTGTGGCATTCTTTTCATCTCTGGTTTGCTCTTAAACATACTCATATTATTCATGTTAATTTAGATAAAAATCAATATTAATAACTAAAACATTTTGATTTAAAGCCGTTTATCTTTTCAATTTGTGCTTCTCTCTTTGCTCTTCTTATTTCAGCATATGATGCCTCCAATAATTCTCTTGCTGTTAATTGTCTTGGCGGTTCGGGTTCTTTCATTTTAACCGGTGGGGATGCTCTGGCATTCCCAGCGCTTGATGATGTTAAAACATCATCAACCGGTTTTGCTTGTTGTTTCTGTTCTTTTGGTTCTCCTGGTGGTGTAGGTTCTTTAGTTCTTGTCGGTGGTAGTGTTTTTATTATCTGGTTTTCAATAGGTTTAACCGCTACTGTCCTTGCTTTTGGTTTTGGTTTAATTGGTTTATCTTCTGTTTTACCATTACATGTATGAGAATATCTTAATGTTTTTAGTGTCATCTCTGCTTGGCATCCTTCACATTTAACTTTTTTGTTTTTCATCCTGTCCGTTTTGTTTTTAAACTGTCCATCTTCTTTGGATGGTTCTTCTTTTGGTGCTTCTTGTATGTCCTCTTCTGGTTTCGGTTCTTCAACTTTCTCGGGCGCTTCTTCATTATCATTTTTGGGGTCTTCTTCAATAACTGTTTCAAATGCTCCTGACATATATAACATTCTATATTTTTTCTATTTTTTAAGTAAATAGAAATAATATAGACTAATTTAACCCCTAAAAAATGTAAGAGTAAAGGATATATCCACCCCATTTAAATTAATGACTTGGTTAAGATGGTTGCTTAATCTGAAATTTAGTCTTCGTAAAATTTTGGATGAAACATCAATATAATCAACATTGCTTAACTCATTATCGTTAATGATACCTAAATATGGCACTGATACATTTATTTTCTTAACTATTGATGAATTACCCGCTACTGTTAATTGATTGTAGTTGCTAATTTCATTACAATGTAAATATAAACTCTTAAAGGGGACTAAATCTATAAAATTTGTGGTGTATGGAACTACATTTGTATAAGCATCCGTAGCAGGTGTTGTATTCCCTATTACTGTATTGATTGAGTTTAAATTGTTAACGTCTACTGGGTCGCTAAGCACACCTGCTACTGGTGCTACTTCTCCATCAGTTAGAACAATAAAGATGACCTCAGCATAATTTGAACTGAATGTTATTTTATTTTTTGGAACTGTTATAATGTAAAGAATATGTGTTAGGTCTTGCACCTGTATCTACTAAAAGGTTAAGTGCTATTTGTATTGTTGGCGCTAAATCAACCGCTGTATAGTTGCCTTCTGGAATTGTAATTTTACGATAAGTTATACCCGCTATGACACCCGGGGGGATTATTTGATGTCTAAACTAAAGATTGTTGTTGGTGCTGTTTATTGAATACCACGAATGAGGAATGCTTACCTCGTGTATTTGACATAGCATATTATCCTCTAATTGAACTGTTTCAGGCAAATCAATAGTAAAATCGGATGAAGTGCCAGGTACTTTATATGAACTGTCTATATAAACCTTTTTGAACTTAAGCATTATTAATTGAGTTAGAAATTAATGTATAAGTTCTTTTATAATGCATAGAAACAAAAGAAGAAATCAAGAGGTTTTATATGAAGCGCCCAATACAAGAAGTAAAATACAAAATGATGTTAGAGATGAATTAGCGGGGACGGAGACATTTTTAACTGACACGCAAGGACTTAAATTAGCATACGAAAATCCTGAGGGAATATATCAAAATGGTTCTATCTTATACATAGCAGGGACAAAAAGCGGGAGAGATGTGTATGATGATTTAAAATTACCTTTCTATCAGACACGAAACACAAAAAGATATAAAGATGTTGATAAATTCATTAAAGACGGGACTATTGAAGTAGATGGTAAAAAACTTACAGGTATTACTGACGTAATTTCACATTCCTTAGGTAGTGCGGTAGGACAACAAATTAATGATGATTATGGTAATATTTTTCGTTCAAGGTCTTATGGTTCGCCTTTTGTTTCAAGTCAGAGACCAGAAGACACAGGAACAAATCTACGAATACGAAAAGCAGGAGACCCCGTTAGTATGTTTGATAATGCCACTATTAACTTGAGCAGAAGCTCTTTAAATCCACTTGATAATCATAGTTATGCTGATATTGCTAATGTTCATAATAAGGCGGGTAATTTACCCATAACACGAGAAGAATTTATGGAACAATTTGAAACATAATTAAAGAATAAAAAAGAATATAATATATTAAAATGGATTATAAAAATGGGAAGATTTACAAGATTTTAAACACAGTCAATAGCGATTGCTATATTGGAAGTACTTGTCAGAAACTATCACAACGATTAGCAAAGCATCGTAGTGTTATGAACTCACGGACTAAGAGAAATCGTAGGTTATATGAAGCAATGCGAGAAATTGGCGCTGATAAATTTTATATTGAACTTGTAAAAGAATGTCCTTGCGAAAATGTTGAACAATTACGAGCAATGGAAGGTGAATACATTAGAACGATGGGAACTTTAAACCACGAAATAGCAGGTAGAGATAGACAACAATGGTATGAGGACAACAAACAAAAAGTTAAGGAACAAACGAAGACTTACAGACTTAACAATTTAGACAAAGTCAATGACCGTGTTAAGAGATATAATGAAAAGAATAGGGAAGCAATGTTACAAAAAAACGGGAGTATTGAGTATTATGAAAATAACAAAGATAAGAGGAAGGAATACATAGAACAGAATAAAGAAACTATAAAACAAAAATACAAAGTATATTATCAGAAAAATATTGCTAAGATGACAGAGAAGAACCGAGCAAAAACAATTTGTAGTTGCGGGCAAGAAGTGTTAAAAAGAGGTTTATTAAAACATCAACGAACTAAAAAACACCAAGAAGCATTAAATAATCTAAATAATAATAATAATGTACCACTACAAAGCGACAACATACGAGCAAATGGAGAAACCGAAGAAGGAGAAGAAATTTAAACAGAATGCTTATGAAGAAATACGAAAATTAGTAGAAGACAATGAGGGAAATGATATAGTTAAAGAAGTTAAAACTAAAAAGAAAAACAACAATAAAGAAAATATTTATAAATTTAAGTTATTTGATTAAATATAAGTTTAAATTATATTTAATTAAATTATCTATCTTATTTTATATATAGAAATCATGGAGACGTTCAGCCCCGAGGATATACTCGTTGATAATCTATCATTTAAACCAAACAAAGGAGCAAGTTATATTACTGACAGACGCAGCGTAAGATTTTATCCGTCAGGTTCTAATGTTTATAAACCTACATCAGGAAATAGAGTATTGAAATTTTCATCAAATGCCGAAGATAACGGATGGTTAGACCCTCAATCAGTTCGTGTATTCTTTACAGTTCAAAATTTGGACCAAGACCTTGACCGAAAACTTCGTCCATTAGCACCTCCTTATTCCTTTTTCAGGAGAATGCGAATTATTGCTGGTAATCA